TCGTTCAGATTCGTGAACGATTGAAAGCCTCTAGAGACCGACAAAAAAGCTACGCTGATAAACGGAGGAAACCGTTAGAATTCCAGGTGGGCGACCGTGTTCTATTGAAGGTCTCACCCTGGAAGGGCTCGATACGCTTCGGAAAGCGTGGAAAGTTAAATCCAAGGTACATAGGGCCTTTCGAGATTCTCGCAAGAATCGACCCTATAGCTTACAAACTTAACTTACCCCACGAGCTCAGTAACGTACATTCTACTTTCCACCTCTTGAACTTGAAAAAGTGTCTGTCCGACGAGACTCTTGTAATCCCACTCGACGAGATCGAGATCAACGAGAGCCACAACTTCGTGGAAGAACCTGTAGAGATCATGGACCGGGAGGTCAAGCAAACGAAACAAAGCCGTATCCCGATAGTGAAGGTTCGCTGGAATGCCAAGCGAGGACCCGAATTCACTTAGGAGCGAGAGGATCAGATGAAACTGAAATATCCTCGTCTTTTTGCTTAGTTATTTGTAACTACTTATTTGCTTAAATTCTAATTTCATGTCGAAATTCCTTCTAACGGGGGGATGATGTGACAACCCGAAATTTCTATTCTGTGCAACCATTCACTTCAATAGGAGTCAGAACTGTTTCTGCTAATTTTCGAGCTTTTTAGAATAAGTTTGGGTATTTTAAGAATAGTACTTCAGGAGATATCAGGAGAGAGGATGCCCTAGGATTTATTATGCAACAATAATGTCCCAAAACTCCAAGAGTTTGGAGTTTACGGCCTACACAAAGGTGTTTACGGCCGTAAACCCTAAATGAGGGTATAAATATGACACTTAGTCATATTTTAACACTTTTCACAATTTCAAGATCCAAAACTCAATTCTCTCTCAAGTATCATCGACTTTTCTTCTTGATCTTCAACATTGTAAGTGTTTCTAGCCCTAAAAAGTTGATATCTTACTTAATCTAGTGATATAACATGATTCCATCCGTGAAATCATTCCAAAATTGTAGATCTTCAAGTTTCACCAAGAACACCAAGAACACACACTAGTGTTCTTGGACTTTTAGCACCTTTTCAAGCTTCTACTTGTAAGTACTCTTACCCTAGTGTGTGATAGGGCTTGTTATACTTCTAAACATCAAGAAAACACCAAGGAAACAAAGGATCAAAGGTGTTTATGGTCCAAGAACACCTTGGACCGTGAACCCTAATAAGGGTGCCAAAGTGTGCCTTAGTCCCCTACCAAGCCTTGTATACTAGTCTAGATCTAATCCTTGATGTGCTTAGGACTTAAAACATCAAGAAGACCATAAACCATATGGGTTTACGGCCGTAAACACATGGAGAAGTGGTCCATGGGCCGTAAACTCCATTTAGGAGTGAAATGATGCCACAAACACTTCATAAGGCTTATACTTGAAGTAGGATACCTCCTTATGACTTGAAAAGCTTCAAAACACAAAAGGGTAGAAGTGCCATGAGTTTACGGCCGTAAACTCATGGGTTTACGACCATAAAGTCAATGAGTTATGGTCACAAAACCGTAAACTCCAATAGAGGGTCCGCTTGAACCCTAAACTCAATAGCCAAGTCCTACAACCCTTAGATGCAATCCTTAGGACTTATAACACTTAAATCAAGTGCTTTACATGTCTTAGGATGTCTTAACTTGGTTAATTAGTTGTTTTATAACTAATTGGATACATATATGTGTCTTTATATGTTAACTAGGATCCTTGTGTGTGCTCAAGTCTTCACTTGACACTTAGCATCCTATATCAATCCGTTCATCCAAATCACTCACTACAGGTGAGTTCATACCCCTTTAATTAACCTTTTAAATGTTTTTAAATGCTTTTATGGGGGGATACAAGTGGAACAATTATAGTTATTATATCAATCACATGTGATTAATAACTACCATGCAAGTGGATTTCTTACTTTTCAAACTGTTTTACTTCAAACTGTTTTACATGTCAATTACTTTTACTTAAACTCTTTTACACTTATTTTCTGTTAAATGTATATCTTTATAGATATAGTTATATAAGTAGGATTGAAAGGACTTAGAACTGATAACTCACCTTACCTCCTGTTCCTCGTTTGGTTGTGGACTTAAGGTATCGGTTATTTGTCCGAAGGTCGTTTGAATCTTAGTTATATATTATGTATATGTATATAGATATAAAAGTTCCTTCTCTCTATTCAAAACCTTTGGGTAGCAAAGGCATACATACATGTTTATACATTCAAATCATACTACTAGTAAGCTACTATAGGTGTAGTTTAGGGAGTTACTAATACTATTACTAGAACAATGAATCATACAATGAGTCAGTTCATACATGAGTCAATACATGCTAGATAGAGAGAGAACACACAATACAGCTAGTACACAAAATACATTACAATACATGCTAGATAGAGAGAGAACACACAATACAGCTAGTACACACAGTACATTACAATACATGCTAGATAGAGAGAGAACACAATACAGCTAGTACACACAGTACATTATAATACAGGCTAGACAGAGGGAGAACATACAATACAGCTAGCACATACATTACATATACATTTCTTCAGTTATGTGAGCCACGTAACGGGGCATGGCATCACCTGCCATGACCGTTTTGTATCCAAAATCTCCTTAATTGGGGAGCGTATGAGTTTGTGTATAGATCTATACTGGATTGACTATCCTACACCTTGCTGCTCGCTACAGTGGAACTTGCAAGTCTACAGGTGCCAAACATCATTTCTTACGACGTCTTACATCGTCGTTTTTCTATAGAGTCGGTAGCAGGATACAGGCCGATCACATGGTACTTTAAATAATAATTGGTTTAAGGTAGTTAGTACAGCAGTAGTTACTTAGTACAACACTACAATACTATTTCATTTTCCCATTACATTCACTTTGTGAACATTCACACAATGCACTGTAATGTAAGAACTATATTTTTGGTTAATGATAGTCAGATTTGGGAAAATACATACTCTTACAAGAGACACACACACAAACACTAGATGCCTTGGTAGAAGGCTACTTTTAGTAGGAAACATAGGGTTTTCTAGGAGAGTTCAAAACGTCTTACAAAACATCTTACAAAACGTCTTACAAAACATCTTACAAATACTTTCGTACAAATACAGACACTAATATACTTATGATCTCACCAGCTTTAAAGCTGATACTCGCTTTCAAAATAACTTGTATTCTCAGGTCACTAGTAGACAGGTACCGGAGCCAGGTTTTGAGAAGATGGAGCTCGTTCAAGACTCATCTTTCATGTTGAATTATATTTTGGTGTCTATTAAATTTGGCAAGACATACTTGTATTAAAACTATATGATTAAAGCAATGGATGATGTTTTTGCTTGTTTACTACTATTCATTGTTGTGATACTGTACATGATGTCCTCCGCCCCAGAACGTTTCCACCGTTCTTGGTTTTGGGGTGTGACAATAAGAATCCTTAATATTAAACCAACTAAAAGTGTTTATGAGACACTCTAAAAAATGTTGAGTAAGCGTTCAACCCTCTCTAGCATATTTGGAAATCTATGATTATGAGGTTTATGCTCATCGTAAAGCGCTCGACAATCTAGGACTTAAAATGAGAGATGTGTTATCTCGTTGGACATCCCAACAAGACTTTTGGGTATTGTTTTACAAACCTTTTGAGAAAATTGTTAGAAATATAATGATCGTTAGATTATGTATTATAAGACGAAGTAAGAAATGAATCAATGATTTCGAATGATAATGGTTAAAAATAGATTGATCTTCATTCACTTAGCATTATAACAATTCGTGTACAAGATCAGAACTATTCTTTCTATGCTAGGTAGAAGACTCCAGAAAAAGACAACAACAATACTCTATATATAGACGCAAAAGATATTGATTCCAAAAACAGACATTCTCATTTCGGAATCGGAAGAACACTAAATTCCGAAAACAACCATTTTGACACAATACAAATAATGACTTAACAATCTCCCCCTTTGTGTTAAATCCATGAGGTACTCTTTATTGCTTCTGATCTCTAAAAATCTTTGACATAATCTTCAGAATGGATGCCCTGATAGAAAGATACTAGCGGATCATATCAGAAACACATTTGACATCGGCGGTAGAATTGGACTTGTTTGCTTCGGCCCAAGATTGGATTGATTTCAGAGCACTTGTAGAGTATAAGTGTTTATCCCTCAGAAAGAACATACAATTCTTAATCTCTTCACCTTCCTTCTTTTTGTAAACAATGCTCCAATATTTTTTGTTAATCAATCCTCCCTTTAGATTTTAAATGTTTTGGGGTTGATCAATAGGCTTCAATATAGGTTTCCTTTTAAGAACTGAAGCAATTTCTACATCCATCGTTTCCAGCTCCTGGATATAGCTTTTGCTCATTCTCTTCAAATGTTTATAAATAGGCTCGAACTTCTTTATATCCTTTGCAATAATGTAGAATAATGAAATCCAATGATAGGGGTTGATAAATGGTAGATCAACCAATGTGAACTCGTGAACAATATGATTATGACCTCAGAATCCTTTGAATTGAATGTTCAGAAAGTCTTCTGTTTGAATGGGCATACAAACCTTCATACCCACGATTCTTTTTAGACTCCATGAATCGTACTGATGTTTCACATATTTCAAGTAGAATGTGAAGAGCTTTAGGTTTGTTGCATTTATGGAGATCAAAGTTTTCTCTATCTTATCAAAGGACCAGAAGAGAAAAGCTCTTGGAGTGTTACGAAAATCTAACTGACACTCCAATTCATTTTTGATGTCAAAAGAAGTTTTTTGTTCCAACCAAAAATTATTTAGCTCATCGATAGCTTCCTTATGCATCCGATCGAGAGTCCAGGCCGGAAATACTTTTTTGTTCTCAAGAATCATTTCTGAATTCCAGGCTTCGGTTCTCTTCAGCATCCAGTTTTTCTCTTAGGGCAGTCAGCTCATCAAGTTCATTGTCCCTCTTCTCTCTTACAACTTTTCCTTTTGAGCCAACGTCGGATCTTCCTCAGTAACTTTTTCAGAAACGATGTTGACTTTACCCTTTCCTGAACTTGAAGATACATTATCCCTCCGACCAGTCTTGACTTCCTTGGTATTCTTGAATTTTTCATCTAGAGTTTTCTTTTTTAACTTGATCGAATCAACTTCTTTAGTTTTCTTCATGAAGCCCGTCTGATATAGATTGTTTAAGCTTACCTCTAGTTCTCCCCCTTTTTGCGAAGAAGCCTCTCTTCTCATAACACCTTTGATATCATTAAGCTTCTCAAACACAGGCTTAAGCTTCTTACTGAGAATCTGACTAACATATTCAGTGAACAAAGAATCTCTGTATTCGACGATACATAGCAATCGTTGGTTGATTTCAAAGTTGCGTCCTTGAACCAAAATCTTTTCTTCTTCAAGCTTCGCAATATTGATCGATGTGTTCCTTAATTTTTCTTGTAGCACCTTTTTATTTTTCGAGTTTGCTCAGCCAATGCATCCATAATTTTATTCTCAATAGCCAAATCATTATATAATCGGAGAATTCTTTCAGAGAATGATGTATGAAGATCAACATTGTCACGTTGAATTCGGAAACGGAGGCTAGAGAGAGCTTCTTTTTCTGCTTGTAAAGAAATCTAAAAACCTTCAATTACCTTGTTCACATCAGCCACATTCTTATCGAAATTAGTCCTGAAGTTAGTCATGAACTCTTGGACTTCCTTTATCAATTTATTGACCTTCTCTGTGGCTTCCGTAATTTTTCGTTCTGAAGCTTGAGCAGTCTTTGTTGTTTGTTCAAGAACCTTAACATTTTTTGACGTTATCATTTCCACCGGTTCCTTATGAGTCGTCAACAAATTTTCCTATTTTGTGAAAGAAAAAGCATTTGTATGCTCAAGAATGGAGTCAGGTTTTTTATTCAGCTCCTTGAATTGACCTTTAGTCATTAGGGCGTCGTCATTATCACTATTGATGTTGACAGTAAAGGGGTGGAAGACAAAGTCGTCAAGGGGTTCTTGATCATCCCCAAACAGTATATCAACATCCTCATTCAGAGGTGGAACAGAAGAATAAGATGGTTCCGATGACACACCAATATTAGCATTTGGTCCCATATCAGATGTGTTACCAGGGATGCCTGAAGTCTTAATGTCCTCCGAAACGGACTTGATAATAGGAACTTCTAGTGGAGTTGTAGGAATGGTTGAGTCTGTGAAAATTGGAGTTGAAAATGGGATACAAATTTGAGGTTGAGATGCTTCATCAGAACTCATCATTGGTAGTGGAGGAATGGATGGATCAGAATAGATGTAGTAAGAGGTGAGGTTGTCATAGAAAATGTTGGTGGATTGAATGGAGGTGGAGGAGTAGGAGTGGTGAGATTCAAAAATGGTTCCTTCATTATGGTTTCAAAGATGTCGGATTTTGGAATGGAAGATGATGGAGGAGAAGATACCTTGTCAAATGTTTCGAGAGTGGGTGGTTCGGAAGTATGATCTATATCTTCTTCATCGTTTTGGAAAACGTTACCCCCCTGAACTTCTGTTTCAGTTCTCTCTTCTGAGTCATCTTCTATCATCGGAGATGGAGACCTTTGCTTCAGAACTGGTTTCTTCAATTTCTTGGAACCTTTTTATCCTATTGAAGGATCATCCTTTGATTTCCGTTTACCACCTCGTTTTGGTAAATCACCTGCGTCAATAATCTTCTTCAATTCAGTGGGGATCGGGCAAACACCAGATGAGGGAAATTTTCGATAAGCCCTAATAATAGCATTGTTTTCAGGAACTTTTTCCAACAAAAATTCCGGAATGGATCCAACAAATTCAAAATTTCGAGGATCTGTCATAACAAAAGTGGTGGTCGGAAGCGTCAGAATGTTAGCAATTAGAGAAACTGCCATTAAAGGAAACTTGTAGTGAAGAAGAGCTCGTTTGACAACTATGGATCCAAACCGAGCACATGAGATTTCTATATGACGAGTGGTGGAGCCGGTACTTTGAACAAATTGAGCCGATATCACGGATCCAAAATCCGTGTTTATACTAGTGTATAACCCATATATCAATGTGTAAAAGATTTTGCTCGCACTATTAGAGCCCGGAACCCTCTCTGATAGACACTTGAACAAAAGGGTAAATAAGTTGTTCCAGATAGGAGGCAAGAAGGATTTCCTGAACTTTGACAGTAATGAAATATCACATGTACAACCCATTTGATATAACATCTTGATCATACTATTTTCCGGAATGGACTCAAGATCAACACTTACTTCAGACGAACCAAGCCCTAGAAGTTTGCAGAATTGGCTTTCGTGATTGAATTTTTGTGGCTTGAAACCTCAAAGTTAATGATTTCCTCGTTCTTGTTGTAGATGGCTGTTGAATAAACTTTGAACAAATGAACAAGAGGAACGTCTTCATACATTATCATCGCCTTCATCAATGGCAAAAATCTCAGACACTTGATTAAAGGCTTAATCAGAGCGTTAAGTAAGATGCGTCGAGGTCGACTATGAGATTTTGGTTGGGTTTGATGTTCAACATTATCACCGATGTTTATTGATCTGCAAAAGAAACATTATCAGAGGAAGCCATTGTCACAGTGAAGAAGAAGATGATGAATAGTATAGAGCTTTTTGCATGAAGAGGTTGAATAATGTTTGCAGTAATAGATAATGAACCGGTTGAGATAAGTTTTATATCAAAGATGTTGAGTGGAGAGAGAAACCGTTGTTTCCCGTTTCCGTAGTGCCGAAAAATCAGCCAATAGGATTCTACCAGCTCATTATTCCGCTGTTAGTGGCTGTTATAACAGACATGTTGATGTCAGAGAAATTCAAAAGTCGCGCCATGATTTGAATTTTACATTACCATGACAAGGTCTTTTTGGAATCACCATTTTCGGAATCATTGATCTACCCTCCAGCTTAGCATAAGCTAGAATAGTATCCATTGGAATTACGACCAAGATTCGTTCTTCAGAAACTAATTGACCATTCGGAACCAAAACCAGACTTTGTAAAATCACAACGATTTTAGTGCAAGAGTGTGCCAAAGAAAAAGAATTAATCAAATTCAAAGTGTAGGATTTGTGATATCAAACATGTTTCATATAAAAATCAGTTGCATCCCCGACAACGATCTCTTCCTTCCGAGTCAAGAGAGACTCTGAAGTGCATGTGTGGTTTCCCATTGAGTTACGATCATAATTTTGTTAAGAAACTATGAAAGGCGTCTTTTATAAGGCTTGATGGGTGGTTTCAGCTTCAAACAAATTTTGAAACTTAACATTAGTACGAAGATCTGAAAGAAGTACTTGTTTGACCAGTGTAGCCATAAAAACAAGTAAGCTTTGGATATTGCTTAAAGTAACTTGGTGTTTCCGAAAAATATTTTTTCGGAAATCTCAAAAAAAAATTAAAAACCAGGATCTTATGGGAAGAAATTACTTGGGACACGAACATTTCATTAAGACCACTCAAAGGAAAAATGAGATTTTGAACATTCAAAGGTACAAACCAAAATGGTTTTAGTCGTCAATTCAGTGGGTAAAATATCTAGAACAATAAATTGTTCACCATCAATTCAGTAAAGGGAATCGTATTTTGGGCTTCACTCGAAATCATGGACATAACGATTTTAAGATCATAAACATAGATTTTGTGTATGCTAAACCTCTGTGGTAAAACCTGAGAGTCTCAAGAGTTACGATTTAGAATAATAGAGTGGGAGTCGAATGGTTGGGAGTTTCATGAAAATCATGTTAGCAATGATTTTGCAATCATTAACAAGAATATTTGTAGCCCAATACCGAAACTATTTTTGTTCCGATAGTCAAGGGACTATATGGAAGTCGTGATAAGATATGGTGGAAAGAAGTTATGATGCCAACCGTCATTCCTTGTTGCAGACTAAAATTCACGAATGAATTTATCATCAATTCCTTGAAAATAACATATTTTTGATGTTTTTGATTTTTCAGAATACTGAAATAAAGAAAATATTTTTGAGATTTTTGAATTTCTGAAATGGAAATACAAAAACGAATAAAATATTTTTAGAATTTTGATTATCCGAATAGAATAAGCATAAATAAAAAAAATATTTCTGGATTTTCAATTTTCTGAAAAAGACTTACAAAGATAGTAGATACCGAAATCTAAATTAATAGTTACTTCAGACCTACTCTGAAGATGGAAACAAGTCGGAAGTGAACAGTTAAATCCAACAGCTTCCGAAGATCGGAACCATTCGGAAGTCTACAGTAACATGGATGATTACGGTGACTCAGCTTCAATCATTGCTAACCCTTGTAGAATCCGATCGAATGATACTTATGGTAAGGCTTTCATGAAGATATCTTCTAAATGATCTGAGGATCAGACAAAGTGAACTTCCACTTTCCCATCTTCAACATGGTCCTTGATAAAGTGGTATCGAAGTGCTATATGTTTTGTTTTGGAATGTTGCACTGGATTGTGATAGATTCGAATGGCACTTTCGGAATCACAATACAAAGGAATTCACTTCATATTGATTATGTAGTCTCTTAGTTGATTTTGAATCCATACCACTTGTGATGTGCATGATGGAACAACAATATATTCTGCTTTAGCTGTGGATAAGGACACATAGGTTTGCTTCTTGGACTGCCACTTGACAAGCTTTCCATCCAGAAATTGACATCCTCTTGGTGTGCTTTTCCGATCAAGGCCACAAACACCTAAGTCAGCATCAGATTAGGCTTGCACAAAGGATCCTGAATTTGATGGATATCATAAACCTAATGAAGTTGTCCGTTTCAGATATCAGAATATGTTCTTTACAGCCATCATGTCAGGTTCTCGACGTTTCGCTTGAAACCTAGCACAGTAACAAACAACAAACATTATGTTTGGACTACTAGATGTTAGATACAATAAAGATCTGATCATCTGACGAAACAATGTAATATCCACAGCTGGTTTGTCAAGTGAAGGTGTGAGTTTTGTTCCGAACGCCATTGGAACTTTGACCTTTGAGTCACCCATCATTCTGAACTTGGCCAGTAATGTCTTTATGAAAGCTTCTTGATTGATGAATATTCCCTCTGAACTCTGTCTTATATTTAAACCAAGGAAAACGTTAAATTGACCTATAGAACTCATTTCAAATGTAGTCTCCATTAATTTTCGGAATTCAGTAGTTAAGCTGGGATTAGTTGATCCGAAAATAATATCATCAACATAAATTTGAACTATCATTAAATGG